AACTGCTAGAAGAGCACTTCATAGAGTTTGTTTTCAGTAGTTGCAGCATGTTACTCACCAATGGTTTCAAGGACAGCTGTCTTGGTCTCTGGGTCCTCACTGTACAAAGAAGCAATTTTCAGAAGGACATCTGCTCCCTTGTGTGGGTCAGATGCAGCCACCTGGTGAGAAGAAGAGTTTATTAACAGGTTATATCCATTCTGTGCTAAACAAAAATCAGTTGGTACACCTAACCCACAGTTACATACTTATTATTCCCTTATTTTAAATCCCTACCTGTTGCTGCAGGTTTGTTCTCATCTCTCCCAGCTGAAGGAGCTTCTCTGCAGAGGGACAGCTGAGGAAAGACAAGATCTCTACCTGAGGGAGGACACAAAGTCTAAATCAGAAACACAGCAGATGTCCTGATATTTTATTTTTTATTTATAACAGCAGAAGAATAATAACTCTAAGCGGATCTGGGTGTGGTTGTGTGGTAAATACCGAAACATAAAAACATGTATTTTGTGTCATCTTACTGGGCTCTGAGGTTTTTCAGGACTGTCGTCTTTTCTTGTTATTCCATTTTCCTTCACAATGTCACTGTCCTCCTCATTGTCTTCATTACAGTCATCACTGGCATCATCATCTTCTTCTTCTTCTTCATCTTCATCTTCATCATCATCCTCCTCATCCTCATCAGGTTCTCCCTCATCATCACTGTGGTTAAGTCAAAGGAACATCATTTGTTTTCTCTGTAAATTTCATCCGTACTGTTAAAGCTGAACACAGTTCCATGTTCCAGGAAGGATTCATCTGATATGTGACGTTACACAAATATACACACACACACACACACACACACACATTACCTGAGTGATGCCAGCATGTCTCCTTTCTCCATGTTCTCCATAGCTTCTCTCAAAGCCTCACATCCCTCCTCTCCAAGACAATTACCTGTTAAAGACACATACAAGAGTCATTTTGTCGTGTGTGCATCTCCATTTTCACAACATTTAATAGAACGTTTCTATACTTTGAATACAAATGTGAATACTAATTCCATAACTGTTCTAGGTTTTTTTTCTCGGCCACAGGAACTCTGCTTCTGCAGTGATCCGCAGTCAGTGTACGTACCATTCAAATCCACTTTCTCCATGTGAGGTTTGTCTGTGACAGCCTGAGCCACCACTAGTGCTGCTGCCTCTGTGATCTCCCCAAATGACAGATTGAGCTCCTGAAGACAAGAAACATAGCAGAGCACTGTAATCAGGCTGTTGACGGAGGAGACACGGACAGACACGGAAAGGTTCTGTGGTGGACTGACCTTGAGGATTGGAAGCCCCTCTCTCACGACTGCAGCGAGGGCGATGGCTCCTTCAGAGCGGACCAGGCAGTCGCCAAAATTGATCACCTGTACGTTCCTCAGGTGCCTCAAAGCCTGCACAGCCGACAGGAGAACACGGTGTACAGAAAGGGTTTGGCTTGAAATACAGTGGCTGCGTATCTCTTCTGCTTTTAGAGAACAGGCCTCACCTGAGCCATGGCCAGCGTTCCTTTCTTGGTGAAGGTGTTGTCGTTGAAGTTGAGGACGCGGAGCTCTGGGTTGTGGCGCATGGCTGACGCTAACGCCATCACGCCTGCGTAGTTGATACCGTTCTGGGGCACGTGGACTTCTTCCAGGCTGCCCATCAGCTTGAATGGAAAAACAGAGAGGAGTTTGAGGGTTGACTGGCTGAGTCACAAAACAAATGAACATTTTATTTTATTTTATTGTAATTACTCCTGCGTTTACAAATATTAATGAAGCTTTAACAGTATCAGAAAAGGAGAACTTGATTTGGTAGTCTAGTGTTACTCTTATTAAACAATTTGGGAGCGAGTGCTTTGTACCTGAAAGGCCTTGGCCAGGGCGCGGGCTCCTTCATTCTCCAGGCGGTTCCTCCCTGCGATGAACACTCTCAGTTTGAGTGGAGCTCCGTGCGCTGATGACTGTCTGTGGCACTCAATCAGAGCTTCGGCCAAAATCTACACAAACCAAACAGCACTGTTATAGTCTGCACTGTGATGTCTCTAAACCTCCCCTCTGTGGTACATGTTTGCATTGGTCCACTGTACATTTGGATAACTTCCTTCTTTTTTTTTATTTTGGACTGTTATATTGGTATAATATATACGGGCATCCATGCAGCATTGTTGTCTGTAAGCTCACCTTTCCTCCTCCGATCCCCATGCCGCAGTTGTTGAGCTTCAGCTCCCTCAAGGTGTGGCAGGAGGGGCTCTTCAGCAGCTGCTCGATTCCCTTTACACCGTCCGGCCCGAAGGCGTTATCGCTCAGGTCCAGCTCAGTCAGCCTGGCCCCTGCACTCATTAACGCACTGCCCAGAGACCTCTGATGACAGCACAGAAAGAGAACACGTGAAGCACGAAGCAAGGCCGATGAATTACATAAATCAGAGGGTGCAATTCTCACCAGTGCTGTTGGGATTTCAGAGCGCAACCTTCCGGTGAACATGTCGCTCCAGTAGCATCTCTGAAAGACACAGAGTTTCAATCCTTCCCACCAATCAGGACCAATGCTGGCAAGACTTTCACTGATCATAGGCTACTTGAAGAGACAGACTGTGGTCCGTTCACTGTGAATGCAGACTATGAACCGAGCAGTACCTGAAGCTGGTCTTTGCTCTCGAGAGCCTTGGCGATGGCCCGTGCTGCGTCCACTCCGACAGTGTTGCCCTCCAGGCGCAAAGCTCTCAGCCCCTGGTACTGCTCAATCTCACGGACCAGCTCCTCCACTGAAAGCACAGAGAACAGGTTTGTCAGGTCTGAAGAGAAAACAGGGACCAGCCACCTGATGTCAACAACCCAGCTGCCCGGCCCAGCATCTGACCTGACGCTGCGTTGTCCAGCTTCAGTCCCAGGCCTTTGTAGCTCAACTCATCCCCGACGTGGGTCTTTGAAAGAGCATCAGCCAGCTGAGCGATGTCATCTGAGGCCATAGTGACTCTGTGGAAACATCCAGAGGTTAGAAAACAAAGACAGGATCAGATTTTAATCCGTTCCTCAGCACATGAATGATCAAAAAATGACATTTAGATCACGAGTATATACACGAAATCGACAAATGATTTCCAGTGACAGTTGATACACTACAAACAGCTCATTTTTCTAACATCGGTGGAAGAACTAACTAGTCAGAGTAGCTTTAGCTTCGCCGGTGCTAGCTGGTAAGAAGTACGCAACATGAGAGCACTGAGCTAACTTAGCCCCACTAAAAGTGATGTAACGGTCACTACGGACTTTAAAAAGTCTACTCGACTGTTTCTCGGCACACGCAGCAGCCGTACAGCTCACACTGAAGCAGTAAACCTTACCAGCAAGAGTAATTTCCAGGAGAATAACAGCGACAGTAACGGACACACGCCGCTCTTCCGTACAGCGCGCCGGTTGCTACACCACGTGACGTCATGCTGCCCCGGTTTCTTCCTCGTTGGTTCCGCTGACGTTAGTTAGGGTGTGAACACATTTATATTATTATTTATATTATTATTTATATATT